CACTATACAGCCAGGTTGGTGCATGCACTTTCCACTGCTAGCTCATCCCAGTTCCCCATTCATAAGCAGAAGGACTTCCCCACTGTTCATCGAGCAAGGGTGCAAGGGAAGGTGAAGCTGTCACAAGTAAGGGGAGGGGATGGTATGAAGTGAATGACAACAGGTCAGTGGGGGGAGGAGGGTGTGTGTGTGTGTGTGAGGGAGAGAGGGAGGATTGGCTACACTAGGGACACAATGGTAAAGGTCTGAGTGATGGATATGCTAACAATGTCATGTATAAGTGGTGCACAGCTGCCCTTCCCAGAAGGGTGTTCTCTTTCCCCACATACCCTGCGCGTTCCCAGCTGGTCTCGATCTGTTCGATTACTTGCAAGGACTTTAAACTTTTCCGCCCAAGCCTCCAGATCAAGCTTCACTCCAACCACTGGGGAGAGAAAATAAGTCCCCCCAACACAACGGTAAGGTGTCTGGGTTGATATTGCAGGCTTCTGATGGGCCTGCCCTGCTCCTGGAAAGGCACAACAGCTGCAGCCAGTGAATGCTCAACCAGAGACATCATCATCCTAAATCTCCTCCCCTCTACTCCTCCTCCTCCTTCAGGGTGGTGGGTTCTTCCTGGCAATAAAACAAGGAGGAAGCACAGGGAAGCTCTTCACATTCTTAGAGCTCCTTTGGTGGAGCAGTTCTAGGGAGATCAGGTTTTAGTGGAACAAAAAGGGTGAGAGCCATTTTGTCTGGGGAATGCAGGGATTCCAAGATGGCTACAGAGCTGTCCAGGGACTATCTGCCCACTGACTGGGTTCAGACAACCTAGGAGATCTATGAGGACTGGAGCCTTGCTTTCTCATTGTTGAACTTCATTTCTTATACCCTTAGTTCTGAAGTTCAGACACCCCCCCAAATTCTCTGCTGACCTGCTGGCTTCAGGGTCCTTCCACCAATGCTGAGCTCCACAGCCGTGCTGACCAGGATCCCAATGGTGTTGTTTTCTAAATCAAAGCCTTTATAGTTGGCTGTAGGAAGAACAAAAGAGACAGACCTGAGGCAACATGTGATAAGATGCTGGCTACCACAGAGACAACGTATGGACGGAGATGCCATGCTCTTCCCCTGCCCCAACTGGAGTTCAACCAATCTCCATCCACAGTGGGGCTTGGGACACCCCACTGTCATATTGAATGTAATAGTTTGAATGCTTGTAATA